CTGTTCTCCAGGAACCCCAGTGTGACTGGAAAATTTTGCGCACATTGTGTCCAGACAATAGCCTGGAGAGAATATTTGAATATCTGCTTCTAATCTTGCAGATAGAGGAAAATTTACAGACATACTGGTTTATTCAGACTGATGCTAATGTACATTTTCCCATTAAAGACCCCCCATGTTATTGTCACGACTCTACTAGTAGCTGCTCCAATTGCTGTAGCTGGATTTGAGCAGTTCACTTTCTTGTCTATGTCATTGAGAATACTAAATTACTGCTGATTTAGTTTTCTCCACAGGGTACACAGCCCCTGGGCATTATATATGCAAGCAAAGTGCCCAGAAAACTTAAATGGATATGCGAGAGGACTGATAGAAATTCCCTTGTAGTGAGGTACTTTGAGAAACCTTGTGAAGTTCACATTTGGCAAAACTAGTGCTTAGCAGTGCCAGGAGCCGTAGAAATACTCAGGGTAGGGGGAGAGTTCATGGACGTCAAACGTGCCAATACCTGGGGAGGAGTAGGGCCCCAATAGAAAACATAGAGCCTGATCCAAAGTCATTAAAGTCAATGGAAGTCATTGCATTGACCTCAGTGGGCTTTGGATCAGGCCCCTGACACCAGTAAGTAAGTTGACTTCAGTGAAGCTAGGCCAGATTCACACTGGTGCATCAGTGAAAAGAATCACATCCATAAACTCCAGCAGAGGGAGTATGTCAAGACCCCTCAGACTCTACTTGATAAAAGTTTGACACATAGGGCAAGTCTACACTACAAAATTAAGTTTACCTAAATTATATTGACGTACAGCCATTGCAGTAATTAAATCACTTTTGCACATCCACACTACGCTCCTTTCCTTGTGCCAGCGGTGTGCATTCTCACCAGGAGTGCTTGCACCGATTTACCTCTGTGTGAGGCATTATGGGACAGCTTCTGAAAGGCAGCAACAGTTGATGTAAACAACAAGCATCTACACTGACACAGCGTCAATCTAACTACATCGACCAGTGCTTTGTCTCTCGTGGAGGTGAAGTTACTATTAGGTTGGTGTAGTAGGTGAGTTACGTTGGTGGGAGCTACATTTTAGTGTAGATGCTTACAGAGTTGGGTCACCGTAAGCTGCCTTACATTGACCTAAGTCTGTAGTGTAGACCAGGCCTCAGTAAATTTTACTTTTGTCAGTTAGATGTAACCCTTTATGTGACATGGGTATAGCGCACTGATTAAAAAAAAAAAGCCACTCCTGTGGAATTTTTGTAAGCAGTCTTGCTTTAATGGAAATCCCAAGATTCCTAAGAGGTACCATTAACACACTATTATTTTCTTTTTGTATGTACGGCGAAGGAGTTAATCCAGATGGGCACACTGATATTTTGTGGTCCTGAAGCAATTTACGGTAGAAGGAAATATCGCCCATTGAAACAGTGCTAGGTATACAGCAAAAAGAAAAAGACTCCTCATTAGAACAGCCAACTGAACTGGTTACATATATTAGGGGTAGGAGTGGCTGTGCTGGGGGGGAAGGGGGGTAGTACAAATTGTACACTCCAGCAAAGAGAGAAGTTGCGTGACATTTAAGGCAATTTAAGTTTAGACTCCTCCTTTGACTGGCTGAGGGCCTGATCCAAAGCCCATTGGGTCAGGCCTTGCATAACTGTGCTATGCAGTCACAGGAAGGACAAGTGAGGGTCTCACAGGTGGCAAGAGGAGATGCTTTTGACTGTGACTTTTGGATACAATAGAGGATCAGGAGTGGTAAATCCAATAGGATGACTTCCAATAACCAAAACAAATGTAGTTTAATGGTATGATCCAAATGCTGCTAAAGGCAACAGAAGACTGTCCTTGACCTCTGTGGGCACTAGACTGGATCCTATCTTAATACCACCGTGTTCCAGATTAATTTCTAATTATGAGATTATTCCCCTCCCCCCCCCCCCCCAATAAATAACAAATGAAAATCCAGATCAAATATAGCTTTCCCCCCCCCCCCCAGTATCAACAAGGCCTTTGGGAAAAAATATAATTCTTTTGCACATCTATGTGAATGACAGCTGTGGAGACTGAAGTTCTTGAGGCCTGGCCCAGGCAGCCCCAGGGCAAGCTTCACCAGTGTACCAGCTTGTCTCAACCTTGACCTGGCGGGGCCATCTCTAGTGGAGAGTGGGCAGTTGCCTGTCCCGTCAGTCCTTGGCCTCTGACACTGTAAGCAATGATGTGCATTATGATGGTTTCCCATGATGTGTCTACTGTGAATTAAACTGTGTAGCCAACTCATTCCCTGTATGTCCGTGAACAGCCATCAGATGATCACTGGTAACTTTTTTTTGGTCACTAGTGCCCTAGCTTAGTTCCATACTGGTAGGGTGACCAGATGTCCCACTATTTGGGACTTTTTTTTTATATGGGCTCCTATTACCACACACACCCTGTCCCGATTTTTCACACTTGCTGTCTGGTCAACCTACACTGGTGATCTACTGGTGAAAGGCTCTGAATCCCATTCCAATCCCTATTGTTAGGGACGACTACTGTTCTAGAACACTAATACAAAAAATAGGAGGGACGATCCTGCTTCCATTGAATGGGAATTCTGCCACTGACTTTGATGAAAGGCAGACCGATATAATACGTGGTGGGTTGTGCACCAATAGACAGAGTGTGTCTGTCTCTGTTAAGCCAGCAGAATGCCTCATATGTTGAATTTCAATCTGTCTTAATGTATCTTGGAGAGCTCTGATTCAAGATAAATGAGTTCATGCATTGTAAACAGAACATACATTAAATGTAACTTTGTAACAGTGATAAACAATATGAATGTTGCTATGACAGATAAGTCACTACTAATTTGGCAACTTGTTTATGTCAGTTGGTTTGCGAAGGCTCCCTGGCAATGGAGACATTAATATTATACCCACACTGACTGCTTCTGGAACTGGTGATAATTATGAACATATAACAGCAGCCGACAAGGGACCTGATGCCGCAGCCAGTGGAGAGGCTGCAACAATTGGCTCAGCATATGCAGTGTCTAATCTTGTTTGACTTCTCTGCCATTGGTATCTGTTTTTGTACTGTACGTGTGCTCAGTGCTGTATGGAGCAGAGGGGAAGACTGTCTCTGTCCAAAGAAGAACATTTGGTGTGGCGTGTGCCTGAAATGTCCAGATTTCAAAGCTATCTTGTTTCTCCCTCTAGAAGTCTGTAAAGCTCTGACTTAATAGTGCTTTGTGATGTGTTTGGGGCCTGGGGCTTGCTGTGCTTGAGGCGAGTTACACGTGTGGCAACTTCCTACCTGAGAGATACGCTCTCTCTGTGTCATCAGAGTCCTAGGTACTTCCTTTCCCGGCTATAATGTGATTGTGCAGCTTGTTACTCTGACAGCACTGGGAGAACGACTAGGATTCTGTTCTGCACCATCCGCCGAATCGCTACTGAATTCCAGTGACAGGGTTTCTGTTACTGACGGTGAGGCGGTAGGAGCCAGACAAGACCCAGCTTGACTTTCATATTCTAGGTTGTCCCTGCAGGTTGAGTTTGCAAATGAGTTTGCTGCAGTCTAGGTTGAGTTTGCAAATGAAAAGATGTTTTTTCTGATTAAACAAACTGGGAATCATTGAAAGACAATAAACAGGGAATCATGATGCCATCTTTACTGAGCTACTGCTCGGAAAACAGGCACACTTTAAGATGGGTTAGACCATAATAAGTTAGGAGATGGCAAAAATAGGACACTGAGGTTTTGACAGGTGCACCTTTAACAGCCTTTCTAGTTCCAATACCAATAATGTTTAAGATAAAGTTTCTGTGGTGCTGAGATCTCTTCCAGGTGGGATGGGGCGGGAAAGGCTAAGGTTAAAGAAGAATTTCAACTCTCTCCCAACACTTGAGTTTTTCAGCTACTAATGAATGATTCTTTTTTATCTCTGGGTCTCTTCTGGTCCTCTTCCATGCTTTGTTTCTCCCTCCATCCTTCCAGGGTGCCCAGAAAAGCAGTAACCTATTGACCAGCAGCACAATAGCTCTTTCTCAGCTGTACTGAGACTGGATTGTTTGTGCCAAGTGATGGTGGTGTCTCTTTAAGAGGATTACAGACCTGCACCATCCACTCCAATTGCCACAGGCACAAGGGGGCGTTTTGAGCACATAACCTCTTTTCTACACAAAGATCCAGAGCCATTTTAACACTATAGGAGGATACGTTAGAAGCTGCTGCTGTTTGGAATGAGGGTTTCATGTACCTGCTGCAGGAGTTTGCAGAATTAGTACCCCACAGCATGGCAGCGCCTTGAAGTGCGGCCTCTGTCAGCTGCTGCCAGCACCCTCAGGGCAGTGTTTCCATGCCGTCCTGGGAGGAGAAGCAGAGGAGGGGAGAAAATATTGTATCTTTCCAGCCCATGTAAAACTTTTATGGCAGGGTTTTCAAAGCCACCAAGGGGATTTGGATGCCATGAATTGGGTGTCCGACTCTTAGGTATATCTCCATATATTATAAAGCTGCCCATCTCATAGAGCTGGAAGGGACCCTGAAAGGTCATTGAGTCGAGTCCAGTCCCCTGCCTTCACTAGCAGGACCAAGTACTGATTTTGCCCCAGATTCCCTAAGTGGGCCCCCTCAAGGATTGAACTCACAACCCTGGGTATAGCAGGTTAATGCTCAAACCACTGAGCTATTTCTCCTGCTTCCTGCCACTAAGTAAGGAAAATAGCAAAAGCCATTACTTAAAGGTGACTGTTCTGAGACATCTGGGTTCTCCAATATATCTGCTGCCACTCAGTCCTGGCTACCTGTATATTAAGGCCTGTTTTTTATCCCCCTCCACTGTAAACTAGGATTGATTCTGTAGGAATCAGTGCAGTTACATCCACGTGAATGTGGTTTGAGAGGAGAATTGGGCCCAATAAAACCAGAGGGATTTGGCCCCTAATCAGGTAAGAGGAACCTTTAATTTTTGTTAACTATTTTCACTAAAAGGACTGAAAGTTTTTTTCTATCCTAGGTTAATGGAGACGGCAAGAGAAATGACCAGGGAATCCTTACCTATCAAATGCCTTGAAGCAGTTATCCTGGGGATGTATCCTTTTCTCCATGTGCAGTTTGTTCCAACGGGGGTAACCACTTAAAAATAATACTAGTTAATGTATCTGCACTTTAGGGATGCAGTATGACAGCCTCTGTGGAAGGTGAGTTAGAGGGGCTCCATGTGTCTAAGTGATTTTCAGTGATTTATTGAATAAATGAATCCTCCTTATTAGGAGCTCAGCGTGGTACTAGGCCCTGATCTTCTAGTGTAAATCAGCATAATCCTATTAAAGTCAACTCCATTGACTTTGACATCTGTTTACACCATCTGAGGATCTGACCCTAAATGCCTAGATAAATAGCTATCTAGTTCAGCTCTTAAATCCTTCCCTAGCCATCCTGGGCAAATCATTAACAGCCTGTTGACTGAGTTTGATATTCAGGTCTGTACAATCTAGGTTACTATAACATATGCCCAACACAGTACTATCGGAGTCTTGATGCCTTTTGTCACTGATCCCCTCTAATTGTGCTGTGTACAGAACTAAGCATGTGCATGTTGTAGTGTAGCTAAACCTTTAAACTACTGTAAAGTAATGCTTTGGTTCTTATTCAAACCCAGAAAAGCAAAGGATGTTCAGCTTTCAGGCTGAGACTCTCTTCCTTGTACTGGTACCAGTGAATTAACCTTCTTTGTCCTAAGATTCTGTAGTAGCACAAGACTGGGCTACGTGTGCTGCTGCATACCATGTGTGTTCTGATCCTGCTCCCCGGGAAGTTCCGCGACAGAGCATTGAGGGCCCTAAATGCAAAAGGGTAGGGCTGTCAAGTGATTTAAAAAAAATTTAATCATGATTAATCACGCAATTAAACAATTACAGAATACCATTCATTTAAATATTTTTGGAGGTTTTCTACCTTTTCAAATATATTGATTTCAATTACAACATAAAATACGAAGTGTACAATGCTCACTTTATATTTACTTTTGATTACAAATATTTGCACGGTAAAAAACAAGAAATAGTATTTTTCGATTCACCTCATACAAGTACTGTAGTGCAATCTCTTTATTGTGAAAGTTGAACTTACAAATGTAGAATTATGTACAAAAAAAACCTGCATTCAAAAATAAAACAGTGTAAAACTTTAGAGCCTATAAGTCCACTCAGTCCTATTTCTTGTTCAGCCAATCACTCAGACAAACAAGTTTGTTTACATTTGCAGAAGATAATGCTGCCCACTTCTTGTTAACAATGTCACCTGAAAGTGGGTACAGGTGTTCGCATGGCACTGTTGCAGCCGGCGTCACAAGATATTTACATGCCAGATGCGCTAAAGATTCATATGTCCTTTCATGCTTCAACCACCATTCCAGAGGACATGCCTCCATGCTGATGATGGGTTCTGCTCGATAACAATCCAAAGCAGTGCAGTCCGATGCATGTTCATTTTCAAAATCTGAGTCAGATGCCACCAGCAGAAGGTTGATTTTGTTTTTTTGGTGATTCGGGTTCTGTAGTTTCTGCATCTGAGTGTTGCTCTTTTAAGACTTCGGAAAGCCTGCTCCACACTTCGTCCCTCTCAGTTTTTGGAAGGCACTTCAGATTCTTAAACCTTGGGTCAAGTGCTGTATCTATCTTTAGAAATCTCACATTGGTACCTTCTTTGTGTTCTGTCAAATCTGCAGTGAAAGTGTTCTTAAAACGAACAACATGTGCTGAGTCATCATCCAAGACTGCTATAATATGAAATATATGGCAGAATGCAGGTAAAACAGAGCCAGAGGTATACAATTCTCCCCCAAAGAGTTCAGTCACAAATTTAATTAACGCATTATTTTTTTTATGAGCATCATCAGCATGGAAGCATGTCCTCCGGAATGGTGGCCGAAGCATGAAGGGGCATACAAATGTTTAGCATATCTGGCACGTAAATACCTTGCATTGCTGGCTACAAAACTCCCATGCAAATACCTGTTCTCACTTTCTGGTGACATTGTAAATAAGAAGTGGGCAGCATTATCTCCCATAAATGTAAACAAACCTGTTTGTCTTAGCGATTGGCTGAACAAGAAGTAGGACTGAGTGGACTTAGGCTCTAAAGTTTTACATTGTTTTGTTTTTGAGTGCAGTTATGTAACAAAATCTACATTTTTAAGTTGCACTGTCATGATAAAGAGATTGCACTACAGTATTTGTATGAGGTGAATTGAAAAATTCTATTTCTTTTGTTTTTTACAGTGCAAATATTTGTAATAATATAAAATGAGCACTGTACACTTTGTATTCTGCGTAATAGAAATCAATATATTTGAAAATGTAGAAAAACATCCAAAAATATTTAATACATTTCAATTGGTATTCTATTGTTTAACAGTGAGATTAAAATTGCGATTAATTTTTTTGAGTTAATCGCGTGAGTTAACTGCGATTAATCAACAGCCCTACAAAAGGGTGAGGTAAAATCTCTTGCTTTCTCCAGGAGAACTGTTTCATGACATCCAAAATGCTTATTCCATCACCTTTGCCTCTCCCATCCACCTTCCCCGCGACCAAAATAGAAGCTTCATCTAGTATCTTCCATGCAAACTATCTGAGTGAGGGCCAGTCACACGCAAACAGCCCCATTGAAACTGGGAATAGATTCAGGGCCAGAATCTTTACAACTTGATCTTCATTTGCAAAGATGTCTTTTAAAATACTCGTGCTACATCTGAAAGGAACCACAGCCAACCATCTCCTTTGGATGGAGCTGACTTTGCCTGGTTAGTGGCTATTGGGTCAGCGAAGTCCATGTTACAGTGAACTGTTCTGATGGCGTATTTTGGCTCATGAGTGGTCCCTCAAGTCTACAATGCATTTGTGCTTGGTTAAAATGATAGAAAAGGGAAAAGAGACATTGGGTTTAATTCTGATCTCATTCGTGCTAGCTTTACACCCATTTAACTCCGCTGACTTGAATGGAGTTGAATTTATACCTATAGGAAAGTTCAGAATCAAGCCTGCAGATGTTCGTTATCTCTCTCCTGATGGTTTCTATCCTCTTGGACGTGAACAACCTCTCCGGCAGGTTTTAAATAGGGGTGGGGAAGTGTCTCATTTGGGTTTTCCTGGAATGTTATTAAAGCCTCAGAGAGCCACCAGTGGGACGAAAATAACGTAATTTCTGGTCATCTGATAGTATTTCACTTTCCGGATGGTAGACGTATGAGGGCAGATCAGATCTTCTATTATTTTGGGTCCATAAAAGTGGAGAGACCATCCCCACACCTAAAACTCCCCCACCCTCCCACTGAAAATCAAAAGGACCGCTACTAGTACAGTGACTATGCAGGTCTGGGAATCCTATGCACACTTAGGATGTCAAGCTGTGAGGGCCAAAGACTGACTCCAGGAACAACAGTGATGATCTGTGATGCCTATAATCATGGTGTTATGGTCCTATGCTATCCTATTACTTACATTCCCATATGTTTATGTGTATATACTTGCATACATACAGAATGCTTATGGACATGTCACCTAAATGTTGTTGCTAGGCCTGGTAGAAAAATATCTGTTGAAACTTTTTTTTCAGAAAATTTGGTTTTCAAGGAAATGACCATTTTTGTGGGAATTGTCTGCTTCCCTTGAAAACTTATTAATTTTTGGTCAGCAAACCGAGAGCCCCCAAATTGGAAACTTTTAGCAGTTTCTGGATAATTTTTTTTTTGGCAATTTCCAACAGGTTTCAGGTTTTGGCTGAAATTTTGTGACTTTCCTACCAAAAAAGCACAGTTTTTCATGGAACATTTGAATAAAAACGGCTTTCCTGTTCATTTGCCTAGAAAACCTCACCCGTTTTCCAGATACCTGGAGTTGCCGCCGGGGAGAGGATTGACCCTCCTGCAGGAGCTCCTTGCTCTTGTAGACTTTGAACCCCCAGGAACTAGTAGCCAGTCCAGGTGTCATGTGTATGGCTACATGTTCAAAATTCACCATCAAAATTTCTTGTGCTAAATGTGATGCCCCCGGTGCCTGTTTGTGAATGTAGTTGCTGGGGTCTGTGTAGGAGGCATGCTGAGCGAGCCGGAAACGTGCTGGGGGGTTCAGACTCGCTCGCCCCTGGCAACGAGCCTTGGCGGGGAGCAGAAGCCGCCTCCCCAGCCAGACTCTCTCAGGCAGCCGCCAGCCCGCCACGCTGCAGAGTAGTGTCCCAGCGGCCGGAAGGGGCTAGTCCTGCCCTTTCTGCTCCTGGTCCCCCAGCCCCTTCCTCTCCCTGGCATCTGGGGATGTCCCCCCGATATGTTGTCCAGCCCTGCCCTCGCTCCCTCTCTTCCTTCCCCCAGCTCCTCCCCCACCCCCATCCCCGTGCCTCCTGCACGCCGCTGAACAGCTGATTCTTGACAGGCAGGAGGCACTGTGGGGGGGAGGGGGAGGAGTTGATCGGCGGGAGATGCTGGGGGGAGGGGAAGGAGGGGCCTGCTGGTGGGTGCTGAGCACCCACAATTTTTTTTCCTTGGGTGCTTCAGCCCCAGAGCCCGCACAGAGTCCGCGCCTATGGCTGGGAATGTATTTCTGTAAAGGGTCTTGGCAAGGATAGTCTGTGGGAGGTCCTTTCGTGACGAGCACTGGGGACCTGATCCAAAGTCCACTGACGTCAATGGGAGTCTTTTCATAGACTTCATTGGGCTTTAGATCAGGCCCTTGGTGTATTTTAGCTGTTTTGTCACAACCTATGGATTGCCCCCAGACACTGTCCTCTCTGTGCAGGCAGCAGTGGGTGTGAGCATCTGTGGCTTGGTTTCCAGTTAGGAGATATTATTTGTCATTTTCTTCTCCCTCCCCCCGTGTCCCTCCCCCGAATGTCAAGGTGATCTTTTCAAACATGTCTGAGCCATGCATCCCTGAATTTTGTGTCACCCTCCAGTTTCCTTCTCTGTCTGTGGAAATAAGATACTGGTTATAATAACTTCTGTGTGCTGACAAGCTTCCCTGTTGCTTGGATACCAAAAAGGGCATAGACCAACACAGCAGCCCTCTGTGGGAGTCTTTAAGCTGAGACCTCCTG